TGATTGGTGTAGCGGAAGGGAGATTGATCCATACCATCCCTTTATTGGCTAGGTAGCAGGCTCCTTCGTCCACCTGTTTGACGAAGTGGGTTTGTTCTACGTAGCGAGCGTTGGCTACAGGTCAGTCTTGTCCCCCACCACTCAGAATGTACGGGAACAAGACTAGCCGATTGTCCTATTTTTAGGAGACTATTTACTGCTTTCCAGACGCCAAGACCCCATACAAGGGAGCCGCCCAACTGGGACTCGTCGGCTGTGTTGTCTGCTCTAAGCAGACTGCCTTTTGAGCCTCTCCAATCAGCACCACTCAATTTTTTGATGTGGAAAATAGTCTTCCTACTGGCCCTCGCCTCAGGTAGGCGCCGGTCAAAGCTAGGCGCGCACTATCCTTTGCGGACGGTTGTGTCGCTTTTATGGGCGATCAAGTTGTACTAAGACACGAATCGGGTTCTCGCCAAGAACCAAATCCCAGGACACGATTCTCAACCGATCGTCATCCCCCGGCGGGCAAATATTGTCAGTCCGAAGGCTGAGTTGCTACGAGAACCGTACCAGGTTTTCTCGACGGGGAACCAAACACATGTTTTTGTGTTACGGCCCTGGCAAGCGGGATAAGCCGGTTTCCCCGACTTCCATCCCCAGGTGGATTACTGCGACTGTACTGGAGGTCTATAATACACTATCCTCCTCAACACAGACCTTGCAGAGACACCAAGTACAAGAACATGAGGTCCGTGCGATTGCTAACTCACTAGCGCTAGCGTCAGGTGCCCCCCTCAAACACATTCTGAGGGCAGGCTTCTGGAGAACGCAGAACGTCTTCATCAACTACTACCTAGGAGACACCCAATCTATTGAGCAGGGTCTCTTCAGGTTAGGCCCCGTCGTAGCCGGTCAGGCCTTGTTTGTTGACCCAGCCCGAACGACTGCAGGGGGCTCTGCGCGTAGGCGATAAGTCAGTCTCTGCATTTTTGCGGGCAGATTGTCTGTTCCACTAGCACTTCCTGGAAGCTCCCAGGTTTCGCTTCTGTCGACCTACGCCCTCATGCGAACTGTTTCGGTCCTACTTCAAGCTTATCACCCCAGAGTTCAGCTTGGGTCTAGCTTTCTCGGGCACACCGAACCCTGTCACCACAGCAGCATTGGCTTCTTGCTTCTGGGACAGCACAGGCAAGGTAAGACACAACCCTTCTTGGGTCTTAACTTAGGTTATTGGGTGCGTTTTCATCCCGGACTGGGGAAAAGTCTTTCATCATTCTCTTTTTTTTCTGTTTGCTCGGAAAAACCCACCACCTATCGGTGTCTGACTCTGCCTACAGTTCAAAATAGTCATTTTGACTGACCGGAGTCTATGGTGGGTAATTGAACGTAGTGAATTTAGGCGAGGGTTCTCCGAACCCGCCTATTCACATAGTTCATACCCACCATAGACTCCGGGTCCCCCCCAACCTCCCCACTCTTTCCGTCGCGTTGGTCTAAGTCCTCGAGGCGGAGAGAAAGGAACCAGAGTGAAGGACGGCTACCTGTGGCGCTGCCAGGTGGCCTCGGTCACGTGGGTTCGTGACGTAAGGGGTAAAAGAATCTTGAGGTCATGGGGCTTCCCCTGACCTGGATTCTATCTCTCCGTCACCGGCAGAATCGCTGATTAATGCCTACAGTTCAAAATAGTCATTTTGACTGACCGGAGTCTATGGTGGGTATGAACTATGTGAATAGGCAGGTTCGGAGAACCCTCGCCTAAATTTATAAGCCCCCTTCCGGATCCCAGATCCAGCGGGGGCTAACTACAACTATATTGTTCATATTCAGTATCCAACTACATGTATATAACTATATTCCAACTATATTATATTAAACTATATTCAGATAGGATTATGGGTAATATAAAATGTTCTGCATATGTTGATGTTTCTAGATTTGTAAGGCCAACAAAATAAACATAGAGTTGGTAGTCAGATTATATTTTTTTATAATAATTAATCTTTTGTTGTCAGCAAGGAGCTGCTGGGCATGCTAGTTAATACTGGTATAGATGACCCTTTTACAAGTGAAATTTTCATAATACATGTAATGTACATGTACAGCCAAAATTTGTGTGTGAAGAATGTGTTCGACATGTATCTAGAAACAGGAAGTGAGCAAACTTCAGTGACCATTTTCTAGCTATGAAAACATACACGGCCGGCATGCAAAATGTAAGCAAGGTTGCAAAGCCAGAAACATACTACCATTTTGGGGGCCAAATTAGAATAAACCAGAGCCATTGAATCACATAACATAAATCTCAATAAACAGACACTTATTATCAGCAAACAGCCTCAGAATTTAACACTCCTTAAATTGTGTACTACTGAATATGTCACAGCTCTATATCACAATGCATTGTGGGGAGAAAATCCAATTCCTAATTTTC